GACTCCTCCCCCCTTCCCTTCGTTAGCCGACAGAGCCACTCGGGGAGGGGGGGAGGAGTCCGGTGACGTCGATGTCCGTGACGTCACCGGATCTCCGACGGAAGACCCGGAAGCCGTCGGAGAGGTGAGTACTTTGATCGATCAAAATTATTTTGATCGATGAAAGAAATTAACGATTAATCGACGGATTAATCGTTAATTTCCACACCCCTATAAAAACATTTATTATTAGCCAATTTTTTGGTAAAATATAAAAGACGGGGTCACGTCGGGTAAATAAACACCAAACATGTCAAGCTTTAAAATTGCACGCACCCGCTAAATTGCAAAAAACTACCATACCCAAAATCGACCATAGCCGACTCTTTAAAAGCTTTTACCGCTCAACAGTTTAGTGTTATCAGTGATTAATAGCCCTAGAATTATTGCTCTCACTGCGACGTTCGCAGCGATATGTAACATGTGCGGCGCAATGGATGTAATCGCCGTTTTCGCGTGTAGGCGGACTCGACGCATGTTTGCGTGTGCATGTGGGGGAGGGGGGCTTTAATTTTTTTTATTTTTTTATTGCTTTGATATGTGACTTTTAATTTTTTTATATTTTTTGTAACTTTCATTTTTTTAAACCTTTTTTTTTCCACTTAACTTTATTGCTATCACATAGGGAGCAAACAAGCTCCCTATGTGGTAGCCAATTTGCAGGTGGCAGGTCCTCTTTATGGAGACATCAGGGGTCTTTAAGACCCCTAATGTCATCTAGGGACCCTCAGAGAAGCTGATGAAGCACAGATCTGCTTCACCAGCTTCTCCCCGGTTTCTGTACCGGAGAGTGACAGAGGAATGCGGAAGTGATGTAATACACATCACTTCCTGCATTCCGAGGAGGAGATCAAACAGAGATGGTGTACTGAACTCCGTTTGATCTCCGGTCACAGAGCTGCTGTGCTGGTCCCGGGCTCACACCTGGAACAGCGGAGCTCGGGATCGCCAGCAGCGGCTGTGACGTAGGAGGGGGGCCGCACACCGGCACGCATATTACAAGCGATCGGGCATCTCTACAGACGCCTGAATGCTTGTATGTAAACAGCCATCGCTGGCTGTTTACATTCAAAGGCGATTTCCCGTTCGGCGGCGGGTACGAGTCGGGCGGGAAGGGACGTCTAAAAATGCCCACCCACATTCAAGAAGCCGCTGTCCGTTTAATTACAATGGCCGGACAGCAGGTGGTTAAAGTACAACTCCAGACAACATCAATCAGTCAACTGCAAATGTTGGCCAATAAACTTTGCAACTGTGCTCAAGGTGAACCTGCTCTCCATTTTAAAAGTTTTTGTTCACAAATTCTTTTTTTATGTCTATAGGTTGAACTTGATGGACTTGTATCTTTTTTCAACCTGACTAACTATGTAACTATGTCAAAGTCAAGATCACAAATAAGTCAGAGGCATGCTTCAATTTATAGTGTACAGCATGTGTATGAACAAGGTAAAAGTAGTGATGTAACATTCTCCTATAATACAGTGGGATATATTAACTCAACAATAATAAACAAGTTAAAGCCACTACATCCTGTCATTCCTACTGTAAGATTCTGCCTCCTAACTTTTTTGAGTTTTTCTCTGGTCTAGTCTTGGAGCTGGAAAAGTATCTGTACTTGTACCAAGTAGAGTACTTGGTATCTGTGCATCCCTACCTATAACAAATATATATTTGTACTCTGTTGTCGCCATATTTTCCTAATAAAAACTTTGGGCCTTCCCCTTGGAGTTCCCCCACTGTATGTTTTGCTTTTTTTCTTATATATACTTAGTTTTTTTAAGTCAAGTGAGCTCTTTGCCTCCTGTCCCTTAGGTAGGTGGCCCCACATAATGCAGAGAACAGCACTGATTTGATGACGGCAGTGCCATCATCTCTGCATCATCATATTGTTAATGAGGGGTGTTGTGAAGCCCCTTCAGGGGAGGGGCTTATGACACCCTGCAATCCCAAGACCTTCTCGATATGTCATTCAATGCAGAAGATTGAGGCAAAAAGAGGACTGGCCTTTTATTTTACATCACATAATTGGAATGACAGGTCAGATAATAACATGTGTGGTGAGCCTTAGAGAAGTGTAGACTGTTGTTTCCTTCTTATATCCAAACAGGTGTAGGCTCCTTTTGCATGTCTTGCAGTTTCTCCAACATTCCTATTATAAAAAGCCAGATTAATAGCTTAGAACGCTAGTGAAGTCAAAACGTTTTTTTTAATCTATTTCAATAGCTGATTAAATTACTTACAATGGATGCTGCTTCGTGATGCTTAAAAGTGTTAGCTTTTTGCAGAATCAGCTGATCCCCTGAGCACTGGCCCTAATATCCTTTTTTAGGATGGCTCATTTCCCTTGCAGCGTCCTCTGGAGCTACCCTTGTGTGTGTTAGTATGTTGTGTGTGTTTCCACAAACACACAGAGACAGCAAGACAAGTCACTACCCTGCTTCCTGCTCCTCCTCCCTCTCCCTTTCTCCTAGCTAGTAGATGGACAGCTGATGAAGATTGTGCTCTCCCATGTGATCTTCTACTGGACAGGAAGTTCAGGAAAGCCAAGCTGAGAGTTGGGAAAAAATTTCAGGAAATATTTTGCTGGAGAATATACTGTATATTTGTTTGCTCTGGATTCATTAATGAGAAAAAGATTGATAGTTTAGTTATTATAGTTTCCCTTTAGCCTAGATGCCCTGACCAAGATTTGCAGCATCAGAATGCAATGGCTGCCTAGATAAATAGTTTTTTTACTCAGGTTTTGCAATATAGAGAAAAATGTAGAAATATGCATTAACAGCTGCAACCTGTCGATGCACTGCCACAATAATTCTATCTGTGGTACTGTAACAGCATGAGCCAGCAGGTTTGTTTGTAAACAAACCCATGTGATCATCAAGGTGATCACATGGTCAGGAACCATGCTGATTGGTTCTAGATTGCTAGAGATTACCCCGTAGCTGTCACTTGGCAGCAAGGCCTCCAAAATAGGAATATGAACAGGTACACATTCCTTATTCTCCCTGGAACCTCCCGAAGGAGCCGCTGAGTATGAAATGGGTTCTCCTACCTGTTTGCTCCAACTACCGGTCCCCTTTGATCAGCAACAGCACACCGACACTCACGGACAGAATGGACTCGAGTCTCAGAGTCTTTTAGTGTATTTATTTGCAGATTCAACAGGAGAGAGAGGGTTTAGGATCTGTAGGATGCCCTGGTGGATTCTTCTGAGGACAGCTTTCTCCCTTAGCAACAGCTAAAGTCAGTAGTATCGTGGCCCTATCAGAGCGACCAATAAATGAACAATACAGCGTATAGACAGGATAGTCCAGGTCTTTGAGAGGAAGGGACTATCTCTGGATTCAGGTAGCAACAACTAGCTTCTTCTATAGCGATCACCTGGGAATAGGGTGAGGGGTCTCTTACAGGGTTCCAGACAGTAGCTCTCACCAGCTCCTCTGCGACAATCCTCGACAAGACGACTCCACCTCCAGCCCAGCTTCCATCAGGTCTCCTTGCAGCCATAACGGAAATCTCTGGGCCCTCAGCATCTGCCACCTGCTGAGGTGCATGCCAGATATCCAGTGGTGTATTCTAGTTCCAGGCACCCAACACCTGCCACGTGTGTGGGCCCAGCAAAGTGTCAGTGTATCCTAGGCCTCCAGGCCCCTCAGCACCTGCCATATGCTGAGGCCCAGGCCATTTGCTTGCATCACACAGACCTCCTAGGGTGAGGCCCTAGGAGGGGAAGATACCTCTGCACAGTGTCCCCAGACCTTTTATTACCTGCCCGCAACCATGCCTCTGAGTCATCCTACTCAGGGATCAGGTGCATAGTCATAATCTGAGGATGGATCCTCCCTCACTGTATGCCAAGGCTCCCTTTTCCTCAGCAACAGGAGGAGCAATCAATCCAGCAGATTCAGGGACACCCATAGAATGCAGAGCTCAGTATAATCAGTATCTAGACTGGCTACAGTCCAGGTATTTCTAAATTGAATAGCGACATTTTAGAGGGCGCTACACATTAATGTTCTCTGAAACCGGGGCACAGTGTCTGAGAGCATTAATAGCCAGATTGCAGATGCTATTTGGACAAAGAAAATGTTTTACATGTACATATGAATATTTTGATGGACCAACTCTTACACCACTGCAAACATTACAAATGTAGTGTAAATATGTTAGAAGTAAAAGTATGTGAAAAAGATAGACTTTGGCTATTAAACATCACTTAGTTTGCTAACACAAGTGTGTAAATACAAAGGTTTGATTAGCCAAGGACGGGATAAAGGGTAGTTCCATTTAATCGAAAACTCAGACACAAATTTTTTGTTTATTGATTTTTACTTAAAAAGGCCTCCAGCTCCTCTTGGTGCTTTGTAGTTATCTTCAACCAGCCACAGAAAGACAACCTAAAAAATAATGATAAAGAGGCATTGCTTTAGTAAAGGAGCCATTTTTACACCACCTGTGTGTGTGGACTATAAAAACTAGAGGTGCACCAAAATAGAAATTTAAAAACAAAAACGAAATAAAAAAAATTGTCAGGCCGAATGAAAATGGCACTTTCGGCATTTAGCCAAAAGTGCAATTTTCGGCCTATATGTTTCGGCGGCCAATATATCAGTGGATCCCTAATAAAAACGGCAATTCAAACTAAGCATGCCATTAAGAACCTGAATGATTTACTTAAGCTCACCTGTCTATTGCACAACCCTGTTTTTTTTTTAGTTCTCGGTTATTAGCAACGTCATGTTATAACTTTCATGTATGCTCTGCAAGTTTAAGGTTATTTATTCTGGCTGCATAAAAGTCACTATCGGGTGTATGACAGCTTGAAATAGTTTAAGCCACCAATGTTTCTGTAGAAGTACTGGCATTCTGATAGTCTGTATTTGCATATGCCTAGGTTTACCACCCCTGACCGCATATTGCAATGCTTGTTCATAGGTCAACAACTGCATTGTAAGATGGGGTGTGCATGAAAACAGAAATGAAAAATAGGATTCAAATTAGATTGACAAAGATTTGGATATGGAAAAGTATTCATTTATACTTACATCAGCGAGGCTGCAGGAAAGGTATCTGCAACCTTACAGAGAGCTTGTGGAGAATATGACCCTTCACAATCCTCTGGGGGGAGATCTAGGACTTTGACCCTCTGAGTGGTTTGGTGCTGGTGAGGTAGTATAAGTTTTAGAGAATATCCCTCATCAAGCATAAGGCGCCCATAAAAAGTCACTGTTTAGGCCAGCTGATGGCATTCTGTACAGCTCATGACAGTGTTGTAAAATACCTTTCCTGATTTTGTATCTTTTCTCCAGCTTTCTAGGAAACAATTTGCTATGGGTTTCTCTGCCTTGTGTCTTTTGTGGGATATGCTCTCCTACGCATGAAGATTTACTATGGCACCTGCTGGAACACTCTGTGCAGACCCAGCCTTACTTTATATTTTGCTCAGCCAGTGCACGTCTAGTTTCAGTAAGTGACCATTAAACAGGAATCTTCAACAGGGCAGCAAGAACATTGCCCAATTACCTAACCAGCAATCCTGATGCTTTAGACAGAGGCTGCTTTACTGTTCCCCAACAAGCTTCCAGCTCATTAGACAGTAGACATGTAAGCCAGCAAAAAAAATGTATTGTTTCCTTTCAGAATTTCTGTTATTTTGTGTCTCGGGTCTGAAAGTCAATTTGTCTCGGTATTCACAATTTCATTAATTTCGGATGAGTTAAACGATATTTAAGAACAAAACTTTGTTGCAGAAAAGTAACATTAAATATTTACTTTTTAACTTTTGACAGTTCACAGAAACAATAAAAAAATTTTTTTTAGGGGGATCCCGACGCTAAAAAAAAAGATGTGGGGTCCCCCCTAAAATCACATACCAGACCCTTGATCTGAGCAGCAGCCTGGCAAAGCAGGAAAGGGGGAAGGGGCAAGCAATGGCCATCCCCCTCCTGCACCATACCAGGCCACATGCCCTTAGTATGGGGAGGGTGCTTTGTCAGTGGGTGACCCCTGGCAAAGCACTTTGTCCCCATGTCGATAAGGACAAGGGCCTCTTCCCCACACCCAAATGTACAAATCTGCCAATATTCGTCTGAACTTCAATTCCAAACGAAGCGAATCGCACATGTCTATTAGAAAGCTTTTACAAAATGATACAAATGAGGACAGAAAAAGAATGAGGAAGCCAGGGCCTCTTAGAAGTTGTTAATGCCTGCTTTATGCACCATGCCCACTGCAGGATGGATCCCTGTGCACATGTCTCACTTTCTGCAGGACAGACTATGTATATATGTGCTATTGCAGTGATTCATGTTCCTGTCTGCAAACAGTTAATTGCCTCTGTGTGTCTCGGAGGCGGAGACTTATGGGGACTGGAGTACAGAGCAGAGACTGGGACATTGCAAGAAGGATCTCTGAAACTGTAACTCCCAGGAGGCTGTGCATGAGAGAGGAGGGGGACTATGGGAGGTGGCTGCTGTGTGCGGGCAGTCTGGGGCATCTATCGGAAGAAGACAGACAAGTGTAACCCGGTTTGGGTTAAGACTGTCTGCAACAGAGCTGTGTGGTCGCCGCTGACATACCGGAACACACAGGCTCTGTGTAGCGGTGCACAGAGTTGTGCGTTTATCATTTGTTTTGCTTGAAGTGAGGCCCAGTGACGCGGTTGTGGCGGGGCATCGTGGCCTGGTCGCACGGCCGAACCAGCCATCGGGGTGACCCAGCCAGCCCAGCTGAGAGAGCGGAGTCAGACTGAGTCAACAGAGACAACTGCTGGTACCCTGGATGAGTGGAGACCTCCTGCAAGGGACCCAGATGACTTCACCCTCTTTGTCAGAGTCGACTTGAGAGAAAGGGGACGTCCGGTTTCTGCTAGCAGACTTCATCTCTTCCAATTGATCTTAGGAGTGGTGAGAGGCCTTTGGCCACTGTGACACCTTGTTTTTCATACCTGCACTACAGTAAGGGCCCCAACGTTGGCTAGCCGAGGACACTACTACTGGCAAGTAGTCTAGAGAGGGTCAGACATCGTTAGAGGGAGACCTTAAAGGTACATACACCCAGTTCAAAGAGAAACGTTTGAGACAATTAGCCTCCCCCATGTCGGTGCTGGCAGCAGGTAGCTGCGGTTACTGAGTGGCAGAGTGCCTTAGCCTGCTGCTCAATATCCTTTTATGTGATTGTTGGGTTTTTTATTGCCTCATTTACCTTCATATCTTGTTTTGTCATTAAATCTGCTATAAAACTATTCAAAGGTGTGTTGGTGTGCTGTGGATCCACATTTTGGGCGGTACATTGGTGTAGGGGAATAGAAATACCCGGTTTATTCAGCGGCTCCTTCAGGGGGTGAGCGCTACACAAGATAGAGTCCTCACAATTTTTCTGACAATATTGGCAGCTATATGTGCTAAAACTGACTGTTCCTGTGGGTACCTCAGAACTCTAACTGCCAATTTATAAGATGTACATTTGTGGTTCTCACCATTTATACACAGGGAGGAAGGTTCTTGCATTCCACTCTTTCCTCCACTCTCTTTGTTTCTCCATTGATTGGGTTACATGATACTATAGGTGTTCCAGAAAAGAAGGCTTCAGCTTGTTTTAAGACTCCATTTACAATAGATCTGAAGGAACATAAAGTCTGACATATGAATTCAATAAAGCAGTGTAGACGGCTAAGATAATGCACACAAGTGCAGCCAGCAGGCAAACTAATCATCATCTGAAGGTTGTAAGCACACAGACCTTACTGGGAGTTGTGACAATGCATCTGCAATGACATCCATATCATTGGGCTCATTGGGTTTTAGGGTTCAGAATTATTGGCTACATACATGAAATGTTATTAATGTTGGCAGACCACTAGTTGACATTCCACCAGAGCTCTGGATTGGAGGTTTAAAGGAAACCTGTCATGAGAGACATAAGGGGATGCCTAAGCTCCTTACTAAAATGCCATTGGCCTGGCTGTCTCTGACTTCAGCCTTTTCTGAGCTTTCCCAGAATAAAAAGACAGCCAGGCAAATCAAAGAGCAGATAGAACTCCTGATTTGTTTACTTCTTCCGGTTCAACAACTTTGAAACCACTGAAGCCAGGGGGTTGGCAGGGTAGCCAAGCAACTATTATTTTCAGAAGTCATCCTCCATATTTATCTTTTTAACTGCACTTCATTTTCTAAAGCCACTGGGCTCTCTTTTGCATGATAGTAAGAGCACACATGTCAAAGATGTTAGCAAATGTTTTTGCAGAATTCTATTTCTTTTATGGAGATATTCAAACAACCCATTTTTCAAATGAGCACTAAAACTTTTAAAAATGAGAGGTAAATGGTGGTTCCATTTTTTTTAAACTACATTTCCAATGACTCCAGTGCTTTCAAAACACCAGGGCTGCGTACAAAATGCAACCTGCACATAAATGCTGAATGTAATAAAAAATATATATAATATTTAAAGTGGAACTTTACACTCAAAAATCTAATTCTGCCAACGCATCCCTCTATGTCTGATGATTAATAATAACATAGACATGTCAGGTGTAAAATGCTGTGATTGTGAAATACTTACACTTGCAGAGCATTCACTTCCTGCTTTGAAAGGGCAAAATGACTTCAGTTTGCCAAAACAATGCACACTGGGAAGGTTACATCAGCAGAGCATTGCTGGGAAATCTCATCTCAGGAAAAGGCATTTTCCTCCCCTGAGATGATGTGCATGGTCACATGTCCAAGTCACATGTCTAGTCACATGCCCAGTCACATGTCTTGTCACATGTGCTTAGAAATCCAGGAAGTAAAGGGAGAGCTGCCCTTAGTAAAAATGGCCACTGTCAGAAGACTGGGGAAGAAAAGAGAAATAAGGTATGTAAAGAATACAAAGCCTGCGTTATCTAGAAGTATGTGTTTGTATATTGTAATTTCTAAACATTTTTAAAGATGTGTTTGTTATTTTCAAGATATGGGTAAAGCTCCACTTTAAGTGGTTACAATATAAGCCCTTCTTACCATTGTGTCTTGAATTGTATTGTAATAATTATTATAATGTCTTCCCTATGTTGTAAAGTGCTGCACAAACTGTTGGCGCTATAGAAATCCTGTATAATAATAATAATAATAATAATAATACAGTGTAAATGTAAACCAATTCACACAACTGGAATTAAGTTTGATCTCATTTTTCTATCAGAGCTTGCAGTGCAGAGCTAGTCATTCAGGATAACAAATCACTTCTATGATTGTTTCCCACATTGATGTCTCATTGGAGACAAGCAGGATGGGAAGTCTTTAGGGAATTAGAAGCAGAGACAGTTTCCAAAGACAACATGGTCACTTTTTATAACTGCTATACAGATAACAGAACATTTAGCAAACAATATGCTCCAGAAGAGGTAAACAATAGGTATAAAGATGGAGCCGCCCTTTAATTGACTTACGGATAATCTGGATACACTGGCAGACATTCCCTATGTCTTGTTCTTTCAGCCCATCCACATGGAGAGGAGCAAAGTCCCCAGGAAGTCCATTCAGACCAAACACCTTTTACTGAAACAAAGAACAATCACTATCATTCACTATCAGAACCTCTGTATGTGTGTAGCCTTGCCTTAGTGGCTCTTGTCATGCCTGTTTGGGGAAACTATTGATCAGCCAGGACATCTCTATTGTCTTCCCCTGCAGAGTTCCCCCTCCTCTCTACATAAGCGCAAACATACAAGTTAACATGATAAGAATTTAAGATGTTTGCTCATAATAGTCTACAGGGTGAAAAGTTTAAAGTGACATGGATTTTGACCATCTACAATGGCTATGATGAATCCACATCCTTCCCCTGGGGTCTGGCCCATTCACCTTGATGCCATCTTTCTATCTACCATACAGGTCCACCTGCCCGCTATTTTTCCTTTCTTTTCTGAATAAACCTAATTTTCACCTTCTTGTCTGGTCACCCCCCCTGTAGGAGCTATGCTGATATGTGATATACCATGGTCCGAGGTGTGCCTCAGTGGTATAAGCTCCTTAAGATTCTTAAGTAACGGTCTTGCCATACTGTTGAGTTTACAGTTTTCTATTGTCTTGTACCTTAATATGTCATAATCTTTTGACCAACTATGCTTCAGAAGAGAGATTTTATGTTATCTGATCTATATATACTTTCATATGTACCTGTGTACTTTATTCATACCATACTTGTTGTTATAATCTCCTGTTCTTATAAAATAAAATAAAAACATTGAAAAAGAAAAAGTTTAAAGCGGAACTCTCATAAAAAACAAGTGTAAGAGCTAATTAAAAGCACATCTGCACTTACAGTTTTCTCTTTATCCCCCTAAAAGTTCCACAAATACTTGGTAATTCTGCCAGTCAAGTCCATCTCCTGCCTCTTTCTGTGATGGTGTGGCAACAATGCTGCACTGCTCCTGAGTTCAGAGTAGAGTTGCCACTCTCATGTAGGCTTTACCTGCCTCCACCAGGTTTGCAGGGTTGTAGATAGCAGCATTGTCGCTGCCAATGCAGAAGCCTGTATCTTGTTAGCACCTAGCCACATCCAGTCCTGCCCTCTACTTTCTGGACGGACAGCACTGCCTCTGTTGCTGAAACCCTTCCAAATTGATCAGCAGTGTCTGAGAGGGAAGTGTGTGAGACACACATGAAGGAGGATTTGGATCAGTCAGGGAGGGTAAAGGAAGTTTCTTGTTTACTTTACAAGGCTGGAGAATCACATGGATTCGGAACTTGTTTAGACTGTCATACAGGAACCTTTAGTAGTTGGACTTGAATTCATTAGTAACCTACATATCGGTGTGAATGGAAGCTGATTTGATACAACAGTTTCTGAACCTGACTCTCTCTTTTATGTTTGTTTTACTGGCTGTTGGCGAGAATACCCAATCCAGGACTGTCTTAAATGGAAATTATGATAGTTTAGGGGCCAGTTTTATTGTATCTTTTTATGTTTATATAACAAACTGTAAGTTTCATATAATAGTTTTAAATATTTTGATTGAAATCCTTATCTTACAAATAAACCTCTGTTTTCATTACACTCAACAGGCAAGCATACTGTGTTAATAAGACCGTACAGCATTGCTCGCATGCTTTTGACAGTCTCTGTAAACTGTTTCCACTGGAGTGGGGGTTCAGCTGCAAAAAACTTTATAGAATGTCTGCTTGCATACAGCTCCACCTGTTAGCAGCAAGTGGTAACTGTCAAATATTCCTATGTAACATTTTGTATTCACTTTACTACAGAGAATTTAAAATTTTTTTTTTAAAAATGTGCAATTAATAAATAATGAAAATGTGTGAAAAATAGATTCCCTTAAAGTTAAACTGTACATTAAACTGTACCCCAATAAAAGCTTAGCATTTCCATTTTTGGTGTACACTCCTCCTGCCTCGCACAATTCAGTGCTCAGACTTCAATCATCAGGCCTGATTGCTGTCCTGTGAGTGGCCTGCTTAGTTGTAAGTAAACACTGAGTAATACTAGGTAAAGACTTTTAGAGATTTTAGGGGGATAGTAGAGTACATCAGGGTCCCAGGACAGCACCTGACACCCACAATCTGTAGATTAGCATTTCCGTACATGGTTTCCAGTGACGAGAGATCCTTAACCTACATTTTATTTTATAACTAGAATTATGCATCTATGTGCACTCCTAGTTCTGAGGCCACTTGTCACTGACAGTTGCGATTCTATACTAAGAAACTAAAATCAGTCAATCTTGTCCTCTTTTATGTGATTAAAATTAAAGCCAATCATGGAAATCACATAGGTTTGTTTGCATACAAAGCACCCAGATTTAGCTGTAAAGGTGCCCATACACCTTATGATTATCGTACGATAATCGTATGCGATCGACTTTTCTTACGACAATCGTAACGTGTGAATGTAGTGCCCGACCGATAGTACTGTACAATCGTACGACTTTTGACGTTCAAGCATGTTTGAAAACTTTGGTCGATCGTACGATGTTCGCATGGTTGGTGGCGTTTCCGTCCGTCAAAAGTCGTACGATTAACACTGCTCATGCGCAAACGAAAATAAGTGTGGTTGATTACCGCAATTCGTCCAGGTGGTTTTTTTAACTGCCGCTGATTGAACTTTGCGATAATCGGGGCAGGATGGGGCCGCCGTACGAAAATCGTACGACGGTTCGATCATCGGACGAAAAGTTTTGTCCGATAATCGTAAGGTGTATGGGCACCTCTAGGGATGCTTTGTAAGAGCTGAAGAGTGTAGGCCACAGCTGTCACAGTGTAATACAGAGTGTAACAGAGAGGACATGGTCCAATGAGGACACTTGTTTGGTGGGAAACTGTCTGAATGAGAGAAAATCAATCAATTCCACTATCCATGTTATACAGCGTGGAAGGAGGAATCTCCCCGCTGGCTATTGTATTCAGCAGCTGCAGAAGCCTCAGCATCCACAACTGCCTGAATAGGGTGGTGCAGCTGAACAGTGTCTGTACCTGATAGGACAGTCACTGTTCGACTGATAATTTCCCACCTGGCTCAGTTGCTAAACAAACAAAAAGTTTTGTCTTCAGATCTACTTTAATGAAAAAAGAAGTGCAATGTTTACATTTTTTTTTGTGTCCATTAGAAAGCTTATACGAAAACAACCTGAGCAGAGTATGTACAGCATGTGTGGTGTAGCCTAAAGTGTCTCCAATAATGGCCTTGTGTTTTAATGATTGAGAGGTCTGAATCCTCTGAGGACAGAGGTCTTCTTATTTGGTTGTCTATCTAGAACTAATTGCCAGAGGTAAGCAACAGAGCCTTGGCTTCATACATTTACTGACACTAGGGCCAGCAAGCATACTCTGCAAAAACATCCCATTAGACTTCACATTCCATTCTCATGTTATGCTTCTTACTTTCTTTAGAAGTCCCTGATACAATCACAGTGCAAAAAAAATGGATTTCAGATCACTGCACCTCAGATGTAGTTGCATGGGGGAATCCTACACCCGAATTTAGAGGCAGCTGAAAAAGGAAAAAAGTGTATGTGTGGGTGGAGCGCGTTAAAGAATTTTGTATTGATGTTTCCTTGAAATGCCTAATGAATATTAATAAAAGAAGCCACATATTACATTTGGAACGCCCCTATCCTTTCCTAGTTAAATTTTCAACAGAAGCAAGTTGGGCTGGCACCCGCTAGATGGAGGAATGTGGACCGACCTGCAGAAGCTGCTTTTCAGATTAAAATGTATGCATAGCCTTTGCGTAATATATCTGGTGGTTAAACTGTACATTAAACTGTACCCCAATGGGAATAGCTCTTAGTCATGCATGAATCATTAAATACTTACAGGGACAGTTTTCAATGTCATAGCAACTGCGACTTTCCCTGTAGTCCCCTTCACACCACTTCCCATCCGGGCTCGTTCCAATACACGTCCTCTTTCTGGATTGTGTTCCCGCTTTGGATTTGCATGTAATATTTTCTTTTGCCAGACGAACGCATGTAGGCCAATCGCCCCACTCAGACCACTGTCCATCAACTGCAGGAGAGAACAGAATTGGGAGTTCAAAACCATAATTATCCAAACTAAGAATACACAGCAAAACAAAGCAACTAAATTGTACCCATTTTAAGAAAGAATCCCTTTTTACTGGTAAACTATTAATATGATGGCTCATATACCCAGCTTAGTGCCCACCCTCAGCTTCACTTCTTTGTTTCCTGGAGCACACTCTAACTCTAAGAGCTGCTGGGAAACAGCAAAATCACAAAATAGTAGATTTTGACACTGGGCACTGGTATCATTCAGTGAAGGAAGGGTTGGTCTTGAGAGCAGAGGATCCTAGTGCAGAAAAGGTGTGCATGAAATAAAACATTTAAGTTACAAAGGGTAATGTTAGGGTTAATAGGAGAGTCTCTGTTTGGTTTAGAAGGAGGGTTAGTGTTGGGTTTACAGGCAGGGGGAGTGTTAGGGCTACAGGGAGGGTTAATTTTAGGGCCTCTGTTGATGAGAATTGGACTTGTGTCATTCGTATCAGTTTGTCATTAGTTTCAGATGCTTCTAAGATTCAGAATGAATTGACAGGTGCATTTGACCTGCAGTTGAGCTCCTCATGACTTGCATTTGACCTGCTTCAAGCTGGTTTTGCATTTCCTTAGTCTGGTATGGGAATGCAAAATCTGTTAAATGTAATCAAAAGAATGTCCACACAGTCCTTTAGGGTTACAGGGAGGGCAAAATCTTGGCTTACAGAGAAAGTTAGTATTGTGGTTACACTGAGGATCATTGTTAGGCCTACATGGAAGGTTGGTGTTAGTGTTATACAGAGGGTTGGGGTTAGGGTTACAGCATAAGTAAGTGTGAAGGGTTATATGGAGAGTTAGTATAGGAAAGGAAAGGTTAGAGGAAATGTTACTGGGAGGGTTATTGATAGGCTTACAGGGTGGGTTAGTCTGAGGGTCACATGGAGAAGTGATGGTAAGGTTACAGGAAGGGTTAGCATTAGTGTTACAAGAAGGGTCAGTATGTGAAAGTTAAAGGGAACGTGTGAGGATTAAAGGAAGGGCTAGTGTTAGTGTTACACAGAAAGTTAGTGTGATGATTAAAGGGAGGGTTAGTGGGAGGGTAACAGGGAAGTTTAATGAGAATGTAACAGGGAAGGTTACAGGCGGGGATAGTGTTCGGGTTATAGGGTTAGTGTTAGAGTTAAAGGCAGGCTTAGTGTCAGGATTACAAGCAGGGTTAATATTAGGGTTACAGAGAGGGTCAGTGTTAGGGTTACAGGGAGGATCAAAGTTACAGGGAGGATTATTTTAAGGGTCACATGGAGAATTAGTGTTAGTGTTAGGTATTAGGGAAGATTAGTGTTAGGGTTACAGGGAGAGTCAGTGCATAAAGGTTAAATATAGAGTTAGTGTGAGGATTACAGTGAGGGCTAGTGTTAAAGTAACAGGAAGGATTAGTGTTAGGGTTAAAGCAGTGGCGTAACAATAGCCAGTAGCAGTGTAACAATAACAGTTTAGATTTATTGCCCTGCTACAGGATGAAATGAACTCTGTATGCCTAAGGCAGTCACAAATCCCAGTGTTTGTCCTCAGCTAAAACCTTATAGAACAGCTAATATCTGGCCTCTTGTAGAGTACTGACTATACTGACAGTACTACAGTGCATGTTCTTGATGCATGTCATTGACATATATTGTCACAGTTGACGCCACAAGCTGCTAAAGAGAATTAACCTATCAAAATTTTGCTATGGGGCCCCATGTTTCTTGGTTACACCCCTGGGTTAAAGCATTAGGATCATAGGGAAGCTTAATATGAGGGATACAGGTAGGAACAGTGTGAAGGTGTCAAGAATGGTTAATGTAAGAGGTAATCTGAAGATCTTCAAGCTTCAGAATGAAACAATGAGTAAGGAGCACCTCAAGCCTGCAAACACCAACTAGGGGGGGAATTCAGCTGCAACACATTTTTATTTTTAATGGGAAGCCTTAGTTCTGCTTTAAATTGCAAAGGGTGAAGATATGTTTAGGGCAGCCCAATCCCTTTACACCATTTGCTCATTTGATCCAGCTTACTGCCAGATTGTTTTTTTTTTGTGTAGTACCAACCTACAAAAAGGTTCCAAGAACTTTCTACTCACCTGGACATGCCACCTTTGTGTTGCAGATGGTATTTCTTGTGTTGGAACCTTCACAATATCTTCCCCCATAACGAGGAGGCGGGTTATCACAGGTCCTCTTTTCTTTCACCCGCCCAATGCCGCAGGTGACCGAACACTCCGAGTCTCTCGTCCAAGCTCCCCATTCTCCACCCACTGCAGAAATATATCAGTGATGAGGTATCCACGTAGAAAGGTATCTGAACATACCTGAAGGAAATGTGACTGCCTTGTCCGATACCTGACATCCCATTTATTTTCAAACCTCAAACACTATGGCTGGGATTGTATTGGCTGGGGTGGGTGACACAGACTTTTTTTCCAGCAAATTTAACTTCGTGACTGACGACGTACAGTGTACGTCACCAGCATCGGGGCTGTTTAAACAGACTCCCGGCGACTTTTGCCGCCGGGAGTCTGTTTATGAAATAAAATAAATCTAATAATAATAAAAAAAAATGTAAAAGACCCCCGCCCACGCGAGCACGCGCGTCGCCAGGTAAACACGCGTCGGGTGCGCCTACGCATGAAAACGACGAACGCGCTACACATGTTGGGTATCGCCGCGCACGCCGGAGTGAGAGCAATAATTCTAGGGCCAGTATTTTGGGGTATCTCTAAATTGATGACCTGTGGGGGCTTTTAAAGCGTCTTTTATTGACTTTTTGGGGTACTGCAGTTTTTCGCCGTTTCACGGTCGCACGCAATCTGTAAACTGGGCATGTTGGGTATCGTTTTACTCGTTGTAACCTCATCTTTTATATTTCATTTAAAAAAATGGTAATTTGTTGTGTTTTGGGGCATTTAATTAAATTTGACACAAAATTTTGGGGTTTAATAAGGAGTTGCGCTAATATTGCGCAACATAAAAATTTTCAACTACCACCATTTTATTCTATAGGGTCTTGGCATTCAGAAAATATATAATGTTGGGGGGTTTTACGTCATTTTCAGGCCTAAAATGTGGAATATAACATGGGTGCAAAAAATGAAAAAAGGGCCTCAGTCATGAAGGGGTTAAGCATTTGGAAACTAAAATGGTTTGTAAACATTGACAAGAGGCACACATAGTCTTTACATATAAAGACATTTATCTGTCAGTCTCCAGGTACTGCAGTCCACTCTCAGTTTATTTAATGCTATAATATTCAGTATGTCCCATTGTAAGTGCAAAGGTACCAAAGCATCTGCAGCTTCCATGTATTTTGGAAGAAGTATGATACTGAGTCCTCTATGCATTTTAAAACAGAACACCAAACACAATAGGCAATCAAAGTAAATATAATACAATCATTTTTGCAAAAAGGATACTGTTACTATATATGGCGAGATGTGAGGGATTTATTCATTTAGGCATGTAACGCTACTTAAAGGTCCACTTGTATTACATAGTTACATAGTTATATAATTGTTACGGTTGAATAAATACAAAGGTCCATTGAGTTCAACCTTTGGGTTTTGTGTGTGTGTATGTTTGTTACTAAGATTACCTGTACCCATGTATATCCTGTGCGCTGAAAAAAGTATCTAGATCGTTTGTGAATGATTCCATACTTTCAGCTAATACCACTGTCTGTGGAAGGGAGTTCCACAATTTTCTCACAGTAAAGAATCCCCATTGCTGTTTAAGATTAAACCTTTTCTCTGCCAGTTTCAGATGGTGGCCTCCTGTATACATGACTAAACTGACAGTAAACAGTTTATTACTGATTATCCCATCACCATTAAACAAGTTGTACATTAATATCATGTCCCCTCTCAGTCTCCTTTTTTGATGAGTGAACAAGTTTAAAGCTTGCAGTCTTTCCTCATAGTTTAGGACCCCTTACCCCTTTATTAGCTTTGTCGCCCTTCTCTCGTCTCTCTCCAGCTCAAGGACATCCTTTCTGTTGACTGGTGACCAAAACTGAACCGCATACTCAAGATGTGGCTGGATGAGTGCTTTGTAAAGGGGCAGAATTATGGATTTGTCTTTACAATACATTCCCTTTTTTATACACTAGGACTCCCAAATCTTTTTCCACCTCTGATTCCCCAAGTGGAACGCCCATTAATGAGGAGTAGCTCGCTTTTGTATTTTTAAGTCCAAAATGCATAACCTTACACTTCTTAATATTAAAACTCATATGCCATGTAGATGCCCAACCCCCTATTTTATCCAAACCTTCCTGTAATATTTCTATGTAGGGATGCACCGATACTAGTATTGATATCGGTGCCGATACCGAGTATTTGGGCGAGTACTCATACTCACCCAAATGCTCCTAATGCCTATCCTGATACAGAAAGCCGGGCAGCAAGTCATTACACGCCACTCGGGTTCATGCTCCCTCGTCACTAGGTGACGTGTAATGACTTGCCGCTCAGCTTCCTGACTGGTCGGAGGCTAGCCAATGAGGAAGCCGGGCGGCAAGTCATTACCTGCCCCCGTCTTACGCATTGGCCAGAAAGCCGGCTCCATGCTTCCTTGATACATGGTGATGAGCTAGCATGGAAGTGGCTTCCCAGGCTAATCTGGAAGCCGGGTGGCGAGTCATTACATGCCACCCGGCTTCCTTAATGGCACTTTCGGTATCAGCATTCGGTACTCATACTCGATACCGAAAAAATGGTATCGGTGCATCCCAATTTCTATGTCTTCTGTTGACTTTATTATCCTACAAATGATAGTATTGTCAGCAAAAATTAAATTATATTGCTATTATTAGCAATACCAATGTCACTGATAAACAGGTTGAAAAGCAATGACTCATAGACAGAACCCTGGGGCACGCCACTGTCAACTGAGGACCACTTGGAAAATGAGCCATTTATTGTTCTCTCTGGACACGTTCACTTAGCCAGGTCTCTATCCAAGTACACACCATTTCATCAATGCCTAAAGATTGAAGCTGGTAAATTAAACGTTTATGAGGTACTATTTCAAATGCTTTTGCAAAATCAAGCTACACTACATCCACTGGCTTTCCTCTGTCTAGATTGCCACTCACCTCTTCATAGAACACTAATAGGTTGGTTTGACATTAACAGTCTTTACTGAAGCCATGTTGGTTGTATTATTCTGTACAGTGTACAGTGTAGTCTTACCTGGACAGAAGGGAAGGTTGTCACAGACCTGACTGTCTCTAGCTTTTCCATCACACTGGTTTCCTGGCGGGCTGTGAGATGGTGGTGGATTGTTACATAGACGGAAACGTTTTTGAATTGGCAGAGGCCCCAATTCGTTTTTACAGCTGGAGGAACATCCCTGCCAGGGGTTCCAATTTCCCCACTGACCATGAACTGTGTAAAGATTGAAAAGATCAGCATAACCTACGTAGCATCTGAAATTGTTGATCATACAGGTACTCTTATATCATGTGACCTTTTATCAACCGTCATTTGTAGCCCAACTTCAGCAAAAAATAGAGTTGGGAAGGGTTGAAACCTCTGTCAGATTTTAAATGTCATCTCTGTGCCCACTGGAAAGAAAGTCCTTTCAGATTAAAGTATCTTTTCTGTTCCTGTTTTGCCCAACATCCATCACCTGAACAGGAAGTGGGGGAGTGGGGGGAAATCTCCCAAATGAAAACACACAGAGAACAGTATAATTCTTAAACTTAATCTACTAGAAAATGTATTTTTATTGTCGCCCAATTGAGTGATTTCCCCTCACTTTCTGTGCTATCTAAAGCCCATCAAATTTACCAGAGAAATGCCCGAGAAAATTTACCTTTACTTCCGTTTTGTTGCGCCCAGTAAATACACAGGAAGTAAGGAGAAATCTTCCCACTGGAGACACGGAGACACAATTCACTAGCTTGCCCAATAAAACACAGTGTTTTAGCAGATGGGCTACTGTGATGGGCCCTTAAAGCCCTCACAAATTTAAAGTTTGCTTATAAATACAAAGTTTGCTTTATTTTTGTAAACAGAAGCTATCTGATTGGTTGTTTTTTCCTGCACTGCCTTTGTTCTAATTGTTTTTAAAGGGAGGCCCCATCTCTATCACAGAGCAGTGCTATTCAAGCCACTTACTGGGACAGGGGATGTTAGTATAGCATATATCCACTTCTTTTTCAGGGCCGATACATCTCCCTCCACAGGATGGACGAGGGTTATTGCATTGCCTGGTTCTTTGCTTCTGTCCAGCCTTGCAAGTTGCTGAGCACTGTGACCACAATGACCAGGTAGACCATCCTCCGTTTACTGAGGAAAACAGCAAACAAATTACAACTGAAACAAAAGGTTCACATTCTATATAATAATATGCAATATTTGTTGTATAATGAGAACCTGTCACCTCCCTGGCTGACAGTGCCCATCTAGCTTAGCTCCAGGGCAGGTCAGTCACAATGTGGAACTAGCACAAATTCTGAAAGCTGAACAAAGACATTATTTATACAGTAAGAAAGAGTTATGACCCCATCAGTATATTTTGCTATCTGTGTCCCACTGGGGAAATTACCTTTCACCTCCTCTCCTATAGCCACAACAGGGAGTGAGAGGAAATCCCTCCAAATTGAGAGAAATCTCTGGTAGTCAGCAGGGTCACCAGAACTAGTGTCCCCATTGGAAGGTTTCTCATATATTCCTGTTTTGGTGACGACTAAGATTTTGGGATTTTTTTCACTTTTAGTTCTAATGGTCAACAGGACAAATAAAGAGGGTGATTCTCCCTAATAATTACACAGACAGCAATAATAACCTGATAGGTATTCTAATCCTTCTCCACTCTATCCAAAAATAAAAATGTTTGGGCTGCATTTGCACTGTTTTTTAAATTTTTTTAATACAAGTGTTAGTACCAGAATTTGTCTTGGTATCAGCATAATGTGCAAGTATACACAGTATACTTGCACATTATGCACAGTTACCTCACACAGTGCCCTTTTTTGCCGAATACAGGTCCAGACTTCTTTTGTCACACCATCCCCAGCTGATAATACCTCTACTTCTGCTTTCAAGTCCCACAATGCTCTTCCTCTATGATGCCCCCATCTGTAATGGGCCCTTAGAATCTCAGTAACCAGATGATGGTCAATGCACTTTAAGAGAATGAAAATACCCTTACCAGGTTCCACATGTGTGGGCCATACCTGACCTCATAGTTCCAGGGGATGCAGGAATCAGCATATCCAGAGAAACTCCTGTTTTAGGAATACAAACCACTGACCACCAATAAATGAGGGCCCTTATTCCACTGACCCAATGAATGGGGCCCTCATCTAGTGACACCGATATCATTAGATGGAGCCTTCCTCCACTGAACACCAATGACCGGAGGCACTTAATTGAACACCAATGTAACAAGGCCATTTTTCCACTGAACAGCAATGTAATGAAGGCATTTACACCAACTACCAATGTAGCTGGTAAATTAAAGTGGATTTTTTCCCCCAAAACAAAAACAAAAAAGTGCATGTAGCTCTGAATGCTGAAGAGGAAACCCTATATAGTCATAACATTATTTTGCAAATAAATTAGCTTTTATTCAACTTCATGGTCTTCTGAGGAACTGGTGGAGAAGTCAGGGCTTGTTCACACCAAATGCAGACCAGATCTGTATGAGTTTCTGCGAATGCAGTGCAATGTGTTTTGCCGCGTTTTGCCGTGCTCCGGGCCGGTTTTTGTTTTTATTTCTTTTTTTTTTTTAGCCTAAAATGGGCTTTCAGTGTGTTCCAGGGTGTTTGCATGCGTTCTTGATGCATTTGCATGCATTTTCCAGAGCAGAAAAAATAGGGCATGCTGCAGTTCTCCCACATGCTCCGGAACTGAACGCTCTGGTGTGAACTAGAGCCCAAAATACCATTGCAATACATTGGATGCATTTTTTATGCATTCTGTAACTACTCTGCATCTGCTCTGCATTTGGTGTGAACAAGCCCTCAGGGCCTCACAGCTGTCCACCCCCAGGAAGGCTTTGTCACCAGTTCCTTACAAGGAGTTCTCACCATCCAATTTGAAGATCTAGTGAAATTTAATTTTTAAAATGTTTATTGTGTGATATATGTGTTGTTGTACTCTCTGTTCTTGCAGAGTAATATAATGTGCTACTACAGTTCTATATTTTTGCTGGGTGCTAGTGGTGGGGAGGGAGCCTAAGTATATTATCTACACAGGGACCCCTTGCTGAATGTGTCCCTCACTAGCATGCACACAGGAGTTGCATAAATCACAGAAACCGGCTGCATTCTCAGAATGTTACAGATGGGGGACTGTACTCGTGAGATGTGCAGTGCACCTAGAAAATAAAAAACTGCTACGAGGCATGGGGAAAAACAAGGGTTTTTATTAGCTAAAAAACTGGTATTAGGAAGCAAAATGGCTTTCCCTCTACTATTCTATTGAGGGATGTGTTCCTCAGGACTCACCAGGGCAGCACTCATTCAGAACGCAGGCTTGGACCTCCACACTGGTTCCTGGGCAGTCTCCTTGTCCACGGCAGGTCCTTCTTCGTTCCTGCACTCCTTCCGTACAGGACACAGAACATGGACTCCAGCTACCCCACTCCTTCCACTCTGCTGGACTAAAAGACAAATAGGTTTACTGATTTATATACAATAGCAGCAGAAACATGCAGCATTTATCTTCAGCCAAGAACAGACCCCATTTTCATAGTTCCTTCATGCAGGTTAGATATTATTCTGTATCTTGGAAGTGTCTCCCACAGGAACATGGACACTTTGGATTCCTCCTCCATGTCATGCCTGCTATGGCTTCTTTGAAGAAGTTTACACCCTAATGTATTGACTAAACGTTAAGTGCAAGTTCAGGCAAAATTATTTTTAATCTTTTGAGTGAGGGGAAATGGTAGGTCCTCTGTTGTGCTTTTAAATTGGAATTTATTGTTTTGCCAATTGGCTTTACTTCCAAAAGTTATCATTACATAGGCTTTATTTATAACCAGCTATGAGATTTTCATCTCAACACAACCTAAATAAAATTGTTAAAATGTATATTGAAAGAATTACATTATCTCCAAAATGATTTAGGCAGAAATTACTTATCCAGCCACTCCCTGAAGGAGTGGCTGGATAGATCGGTCCCTCCTAGCCTGTCTAGGCTGTACAGTTCCATTGCTGCCACAAAAGCACTTGCTGACCCTCCAGTGGCGACTGATAAAACTGATTTCCACACGGATGATGTGGGGCTCAAACTTTTTATTGAACAAACTTTGTGAGAGAGGATTAGGGCGCACTAACACCCAGGATGTTGTAGACTCCAAAATAAAGCACAAAGTACTTGCAGCCTTCACAGATAGAGAACCTTTAAGCCAGTAAGGCAATCTGTAACTCTAGCTCCTGCCTGTAATAGACTTGATGTAATAGCTACCAATCTATCTCAGAAGAAATCACTATGCTTCAGCAGAGGATCAACTTCCCAGGCTCCCCGTACCTCTTGAATTTTCTCAATTTCATCTCCATCCTTAAGCTTAACTCATTGAGCCTGAGCCCCAGGACTCAGTCTAGGCACATGGCTTCCCTCTTTCGGCAGCAGGCCTAGAAGTGTCCAACAATCAACAGCTCCCCTCCACCAGGTCACATTTCTGGGGAGAACTAACTTCCCAAGGTCACTCCTCGAATATTTATAGCCTCTCCGAACATGCCCCATAAACCTATTAGTGGTTGGTCAGGGAGGTACAAACATTCTTTTATCTAATTAGTGCGTTCTCCCACACTATTACTGGGGACACTTCCCAGCAGCAGGCAGAAGCAAATGCTCACCAGAGCTTAGGAGAGACAGCATAGAGTTAAGCTATCAAATTAGGATCAGACTGAATACAGTCTGACAGCTTCTAAATTTAAATAATCACTCCTGCTTAAGACCAGACAGCACTTAAGTTGGCCATACACTATACAAATTTCATCAAGAACCGGCCCAAATTCCCACTGTGGGTGCTGCTGTCAGCACCCTTCTGGCAGGCATCCCCCGATCAGCTGATTCAAGGAGCTTCAATCGGCCAAAGAAGGCTGCCGCCAGCCGCTGTCAGAATACATTGAAAGCAGTGGAAATTCCTCAATCAACAATCGTAACCATTGATGGAGGAATCTGTTATATTTTCTTCGTTCAGCTGGCTGGTTGAACAAAGGAAATATAAGAGTGCATGACCAGCTTTACCCCTTTATAGGAATTTTATAGCTGTCGGTGATCCTGTTTGAGAGATTTACCCGGCTTTAGGACAGGAACACAGACTGCAATACCAAGCCAACAGTTCTAGTCTTTAGCTTTATCACGCTAATATAGAAAAGTGTCTCTGTTGCTGTTCTTTTCCTCCTGCTTGGAGAGCTGAAAAGAGGTTTCCTACGCTTTCCTACATAAAGGTGCTTGTGGGGTATAGAGATTCTATTCCAGTTGTGTCCATGACTATGGGAAGCAGCTGAAGATATGTGAAGTTGAGGGACAGAGGGTAGAAATACAACCTGTCATATTCTGTGTCTCTTGGGCACCATCTAACTTTAAATCACTGCTCTGGAACTGGTATGTGGTAAGTGTAACATTAACCTTTTCACTGCTATCTGTTGGAAATGCAACAGTGTATGCTAATATGCACTGATTGTATTACTGACTGTAATCTGTCTTTTGAGCTGCAGATGGCAGTGTAGTGCAATGTTACTCTCTATGTGCATGCTTATCTATGATACACAGGAAGCTGTTTTTTCTATCAATATGTTTCCTGCAAAATGCTGTATTCTGATTTAAGTTTTACTTGCGTAAAAGAACATTAATTCAGCATTCCTCAAGATCTCAGTGCTTCATCTAAACGCATAACCAACACTATCAAGGTAATGGTTACGGCAGAACTTTGGGCTGGTTAGTTTAGTCAGAGGTTTGACTATAGCCGAGAAGTTCTTGATGAATTTCCGGTAATAGTTAGAGAATCCCAAGAATCTCTGTAGTGCCTTCCGTGACTTGGGAATCGGCCACTCTAGAATGCAGTCAATTTTGGACTGGTCCATCTGGATTCCTTCCGGGGTGATCTGATACCCCAAGAAGGAGATGGATGACTGTTCAAACAGGCATTTCTCCAGCTTGACGTATAATGAGTGAGCCCGGAGATGGGCCAGCACCCACCGAACGTGTTTCCGGTGTTCGACAGGGCTGTTTGAGTATACCAAAATGTCATCAAGATATATGATGACACAGACGTCCAGCAGATCCCGAAAGATGTCTTCACGAAATGCTGGAACGTGGCAGGTGCGTTGCACAACCCAAAAGGCATCACCATATACTCAAACAGCCCATATCTGGTCCGAAAAGCTGTCTTCCACTCATCTCCTGCTCGAATCCGGATAAGGTTGTAAGCCCCTCTGAGATCCAGCTTGGTATAGACTCGAGCCGTCTGTAGTTTCTCGATGAGTTCAGGCATGAGAGGGAGCGGATAACGGTTTTTGATGGTTATCTTTTTTAGTCCCCTGTAATCGATTATAGGCCGTAGAGCACCGTCTTTATTCTTCACGAAGAACATCCCTGCGCTAGCAGGGGAGGTGGAAGGTCGAATGAAACCTCTTTTCAGGTTGTCGTCCAGATAGGTCTTCAAGTGAGCCAATTCGGGTGTTGATAAGGGATAGATCCGTCCCGTAGGCATGGGGCTGCCCGGAATCAACTCGATGGGGCAATCATAGGGTCCGTGGGGGGGGGAGCATCATTGGAGACATTGGAGAACTCGAGAAGATGGGGTGGCAACCCTTCTGGGGTGATTAGCATGATAGGAGAGACGGGGTAACACGTCTCTGTGCAGTAAGCAGATTGTAAGTGGACTGTTCTTTCTGACCACATTATAGTGGGGTGATGCAAAGTCACCCAAGGGAGACCCAACACTACTGGGAACATGGGAGAAGGGATAACATCGAATACCAAGTACTCGCTGTGCCCTTCTCCACAGGTCACCAGCAGCGGTTGGGTGTGGGAGGTTATAGGGCCTGATTGGGAGGTCGATCCGTCAATAAAACTCACGGACAAGGGCTTCTGCTTCAACACGTGAGCAATTTTATTTTGCTTTACTAGCTTTAGATCAATGAAATTTCCGGAGGCTCCTGTATCCACCATAGCTCTAACGATGGTCCTCTCTTGGTCCCACTGCAGAGTGAGAGAAACTTAAATGTAAGGATTATGTAGATCAAGACTAGGAGTAAGGTTGTAAATATGAGAGAGATTACCTTCAGTCTGCCTTTTGACCAATGGACACGTGGCTACAGTGTGATCAGGGGAAGCGCAGTAGAGACACAGATTCAGAGATCTCCTCCTATTCTTCTCGGCCATAGGGAGGGGTCCACGCACAGTGCCGACTTCCATGGGTTCCTCTTTCTGGGGTGATCTGGATCTTCGGGGGACTGTAGCGTTGCCATAGACCCTTTCTGCCCTCCTTTCCCTGAGATGCCTATCGATGGTTACAGAGCGGTGGATCAGGTCATCCAATGTGCGGGGTAAGTCGTCTCGGGCAATCTCGTCTTTTAGGGCCTCAGAGAGGCCGAGGCGGAACTGGTTACGGAGACCGACGTTGTTCCACTCGGTCTCTCTGGCCCAACGCTTGAACTCCGCAATATAATCCTCGATGGGTCTTTTACCCTGCCTGAGGCCTCGGATCGCTGTTTCAGCGGTCAACTGCTTGCTTGCGTCCTCGTAGAGGAGTGCCATTGCATCCAGAAAATGGGGGAACGAATCTAGTAAGTCATCGTCTTCCTCTAGGTAGGTTTCTGCCCAGGCTCTGGGTTCCCCTTTAAGGTATGAGATGAGGGTCATAACTTTTATGCGGTCGGTGTGGTATGTTCGGGGGTGGAGGTCGAACAGTAGTTTGCAAGAACTCACAAACTGGCGGAAGTTCTTCCTATCTCCTGAAAAAGGTTCAGGGGCGCAGACCTTGGGTTCAGGACCCTCCCGGCCCCGAGTGGCGTCGTTGTTTTGTGTAACTAGGGTGCGTAGTCTCTGGTTTTCCACTTGTAGGTCTTGCATAGACGTGGTTAGGTTCTCCACCCTCTGGGACAATGTGACAAGGTGGCGGGCTAGCTCCACTGGATCCATTTTTTAAAGGGTTCAACTATTCTGTCACGACTGCTGTAGTGGCAAGTGGGGATCACAACTGCGGAGTGTAGCACGCGTTTGGTGGTTGGAGACTGCTTCTCAGGTTCGAGTCCCAGGCGTCACTCCCAATCTTAAACGGGGCGTTTGGGACTCTAGCATCACAGCCGTATGTAACCAAAAAGCAAGTAAAAATGCAGAGCTATTGCGTCATAGCCTAATATCTCACTAACTGAGAATGGATGATACGTTTTGCAGTAATACAGGTAGTAATCGGATAATAAACCACTGATATGCCAGGGAGTTCCCCTTTAGGTACAGTTCAGGTATTCAATACAGTCTCTATCCACTCCAGTTTTATAATACCAAAAGGTCTGGTTTCAGGCTTCCCCGGAGGGATACTTGCGTTTAGGAGCTTCTGGACTGTAACCAAGCAGCAGATCCTCAGGCAGGTCCAGGGGGAGTCCTTCCCAGGCAGGGCTGATAGAGGCAGAGGTGCAAGTGGTTGGGTTCAGGGTCAATGAGGCAGCAGGCGTTCTGACTCCAATAGTTGAACGCCATACTGCCTCAGCTGGGGCTTTAAATAGCCCAGGAATGAGGGAGGAGTCAATTGCCATAACGAACGGCTTCCGCGTTCCACCATGGAACGCAGGACGCTCGCACCGCAATCCGGAAGTCGAGCGGCTTCTGCGTTCCACCGTGGAACGCAAATCGGCTGTCCCTGCATGTGGGGAGACCCGAGCGGTTTGAACCCTCGGGACTCGTTACAGGTTGTTAGTGGTGTCCCCCCAAGGTTCAGTGCTGAGTCCCTTATTGTTTAATCTATTTATAAATGACATAGAATTGGGGATTAAAAGTACTATTTCTGTTATTTAGTGGAAATCAGTCCTTACAGGATGTCTCCAACCTACAAGCAGATCTGAATAGACTGTATGATTGGATCTATTTGGAAAATTAGGTTTAATGTCGATAAATGTAAAGTTATGCACTTGAGGACTAAAAACATGCATGCCTCATACACTCTAGGGGAAGTATGTTTGGGGGAGTCAGTGAGGGAGAAAGATATTAAAAATATATTATATATAAATATATATTAAAAATATTAACGGACCTGAATTTGTTCTGTCTGGAGAAGAGGCGATTAAGGGGGGACATGATCACTATGTATAAATACATAAATGGTCCATATGCTTGGTGCCAAATTTTTCACGTTAAGGTCACTGCAAAGGAGAAGGTGGCACTCTTTGCATCTGGTGGAAAAGAGGTTTCATCTTTGCATACGGAAAGGATTATTCACAGTTAGAGCTGTGAAAATGTGGAGTAGACTCCCCCAGGAGCTGGTTGTAGCTAGCTCAGTTAATTGTCTTAAAAAAAAATCTGGATGTATTCCTAAATGCACAGAATATTACTGGATATTGACTTCTTATAAGTATAATAAGCACCAGAGATTGTTGATCCAGGGAATATCTGATTGCCTTATGGGGTCAGGAAGTATTTTTTTTACCCTGTTGGAGCAAATTGAACCATGCTTTGTAGGGTTTTTTTTGCCTTCCTCTGGATCTACAGTGGGTAACTATGGGCATAGCATTTTGTTTTAGGTTTTTTTTTTTTCTTTTCTTTCTCATCTCTATAGGTTGAACTCGATGGACTTGTGTCTTTTTTCAACCTAACTATGTAACTATGAACTCTATGCACATCAGTACATTGTGACGCATTCCCTCATTTTATAGCAACACACACCAACGCAGCCCGTACACAGATTGTCCATCACCACTACCCATAGGTGTAAAGACAACCACCAGATTTTTAGTGTAAATTGGGTTTTTTTCAGTTTCCAATTTACAAATGTATGTTATTTTATAACTCAATACAGTTTTAGCTTTTAGATTTTGTAGGAGTTTTGTAAGTTATGCTGTGTTTGTATGCTTTAATGATTTTAGTGTATTTGCTGGAAAATATTGTTTGATAAACATTTGAACAACTTTCTTGGGATGTACAAAATTAGCCACCTGAGGCTACAAGTGGAGAGCAGGGCCTGGCAGTAAATGGGTTAAAGGATTCCTCCATTTTTAGGAAGAAAGAGACTCACCGGCATGACTGGCACTGACCACGAGCCTCTCTCTTGAAGCCATATTTGAAATTCAGGCAACAATCTACTTCCAGCACACCATCTCCAAGAAAATCCTCACATTCCCCAGTATTCTCATTCACAGCTTCATAGCACAAAACGTCATCTGATCCTAAAGATGGGAAAAAAACAGAAAGTGTTGGTAGAATGCAATAGACAACACTAGACAAACGGATACATACATAGGATGTGGAAGCTTTTCTGCCCTACAAAGTATTTGTATTTCTCTCCTTCCAAGCTTGAGATTCACAAAGCCCTGCCAGGCAGCACAGGAACCTGGTGACCTGACTTTTCTCTGTTAAAGGTTATCAATGGTCAAAAATGAAAAATAAATATGTATGTCTGTGTTGAACTTCCATAAGCTGTATCCCACACCTATTAACCATATAGCCATATAGCTAGTCCTTGACAAGTTCACAATCTGCACGAGGAACAAGCTCGACTTGGGTTGGGTGAGATTTGCATAGCAATTATACCCATTCATATGTGAATACTGTGTTCCATTGATATGTAAATCATGTGCCTGATTACATATGAATGGGCGGAGGGAACGCTAGGGCAGGGCTGGGCAGAGGTAGAGACTGAGCAGGACAAAACCCGGGACACAGGACAGGAAGGACAGGTTGATAGAAGACGGGACTATCCCGGCAAATCTGGGACAGTCGTTCACTATGTATTTGCTGTGACCTTTGAATTCCTTTAAGCAAGATCGATAAGTCATGTCCCTGCCTCAGCCTGTGATTGGACAGTGAAAGAGCAGAAAAACATTGATGAAGTCATCACATCCTTCGGTCAGCATGCTACTTGTCAACACATGTGAACACAACACACCTGCCTGGCCTGGGTGCTGCCCCTCCCAATCCCAGCATTAGTGCTGCTGACTACAAGAGGTTAATTGGCTTCTAATCAAATAGAGCCTGTGTATGTTTGCTTTTGTGACTGTTGTGGTCACATTAGACTGTAATCTCCTCTGGGGCAGATGTGAATGGGCCTTTTACTTTGCAAATTGCTGCCTAAGTACTGTACAGGTCCAATGACCGTTCTAACTGGGGGTGTAACAGGCAGCAGCCTGGCACGCACAGGAATGTGAGGGTGTAAATAATATTCATTGGACTAATAAGTGATGCATGCATAAATATGGTCATAAAATAAACTTTATGTTTATGTTTTAAATGTCCATGGGAAACCAATTAGTGGAAAAAGTGCACAGAAAACATTGTCCATTGGGCTTGGTGGGTGAGTGTAATCTCATAGCTGGACACTGTGTGTAACATGTTATTGTTTCCAAACAGCTATTTCTGTCTCATCATGTGGGGTTCTCATTAAGAGTGCTAACTAGTTAAAGTGGTATTGTTCTCTGCGCACAGGAGACTAACACAGGCTTTACAGCAGGCACGTTAAGGTAAACAAAGCACACGTTACTTAATTTTGTGGGGGACAGTATTTCTTTATGGTCTATGTGAGGAGGACATGGTTGTGTCCTGTTTCTAAGGGCCCATTTGCACCAGATGCATTTGGGACTGCACTCGCTGTCTTTTCCAGTGCAGTTCTGTCAAAAACTCAAATTTCTCGAGATCTCCAATGGCATCACATCCAGTTGACTTGCCAGTAAGAGGTTTGGATGAGCTGGCTCTAGTGGGCGTGCGCCACCCATAGCATTTTCCTATATACATACTAGACAGCAATGAAGTATTATAATCAACTAGGGCAAAACTAATCCAGCACATTATTAATCGGAGTTGCCCCACTCAATATGACCACCAGGGTCAGGCAAGTGTCCTTCCGCGCAGGTGCAGTAAAGAGAATTGGAGACCTTCTGAAGCCTTGCAGGCGCAGTCAAGAGCTTTGCCGAACTCAATGAGGATTAGTAGAATGCCGCAGGTGGCTCATGCGCACTAGAGCCAACTCATCCAAACCTCTTACTGGCAAGTCAATCGGACGTGACATCATTGGGGAACTCGAGAAATTGGAGTTTGACAGAAAACAGTCCTAATGCACAGACAAGGCAATCTGCCTTGTTTAAAATGGGTTCAGTTCACAGCATCGTCTAGCGGTGGTGTGCACTTAAAAAAAGTATTGCATACAGTAATGTACAACCACATTATACCACATTGTGCTGAAGAACTTAATGAAGTGCCCTAAAAAAAAAGCAAACAGTGCGATCCATCGGGATGTTGGCTGTCAGCACACACCAGCGGCCATGCGTTCAGTGCAGCTTGCTGGTGTGAACGGACCCTTGAAGCTTTGCCCAAAAAAGATTTTTCTCTTTGCCCCCTTAAAAATATGGGAGGAACATGTGTGCCCCATAGCTGTAAGCTTTCTTGGGGCTCCAGTAGCAGGGCAGGGCAGGAGCAGTCAGTGGAAGTTTTCTCAGGGCTCCAGTGCAATAATGTAAAGGATGAATTATATATACTCATCCTCATAGTTAGAGCCTAAGTATGACATTGAAACTGTCACACCTAGGCTCTATTCATCGGGAAGTGAGCGGACACATACTGTCGCTTGCTCACTTCCAGATCATCTCCCTGCAGAGAGCGATGACTGTCAGTCACCACTCCCCATAGGGATTCCCTCCCTCTCCAATCCTCCAGCGCTGACTGGAGGAACAGACGGGGAGGGGGCGGGTACAGCTGTCTCTGCCTCTAGATAGGTAAAGCCCGCTGTCAATCAGCCAGCTGGGTGGATCTCGACAGTATTGTCGGGATCCGTCCCGGTTGTGGCGCTCTCAGTATATAGCGAGCAATATGGTTGGCCGATATACTAAAAACAACCTCTCTGTGTGGCTGATATTTCAACAGTTGGGAAACAGTAGGCAGTCATTGTTGCAACAAAGTGTATCTTGCCTCAAGTCGTTCATTTACAAAATTCTAGATTAAATATAAAAACAAAATATAAAAGGACAAAGAAACCTGTAAAATGTGAAAGTTGAATAATTACATTAGGCAACAGTGCATTACTAACTACAAATGTATGCTTGCTGCACATTCACTATACTTTCTATAAAAACAATGGAGTTGATGAATTTTACAAGCTTTTCTTCAGAAAATATTTTAAAGCGAAGCAAATCAAAACAATATATACCTATTACAATAAACAGACATATGTCCTGACTTAGCCTAGAGTCTTTATAGGCACAAATAAACAATAGGGCATCTGCTACCCCTAAAAAAGGGAGTCACCCAGCATTGCCTCACCATCTCAGGGACATTGTATCTTACATAAAGCTACATTCAGTGCAAGTAACATATAATACATATGATGGGGTCCCCTACCTAAAAAAATCCTAAAGTTGGCTTTAAAGACCCTAAAAAAAGCACTGTCCATGATTTCATGGGGATTTTTTATGAAAAAAAGGAAAAGCAAACCAAACTTTAAAAATTTGTAGGACCTGTAGGGTGAATGGGTATAAATGTCAATTCACCACCAACCGAAGATGACTGGAGATGGAACACCTCCCTCATCCCTGAAAATGCCAAGCATCACTCTGACATGTCCCTGCACCAGACAATCACTGTGATGTATGAACCTTTACTGACCCTCCCACATTCAAACCAAGTAATACCAGCCCTCTGCCAAGGCCTTCAGTCCAGTTCCAGGCTCAAAAAGATTTGCACTCTGTAGATGGTGTTTACATTACAATTGTATAACAATGTCCTATGCATGACTGCCTATAGGTACAGAATACACAATATGCAATGCCATGGCATGGCCCAATATCCAAAAAGGTTTCTTTTCAAAATTACATACTTGCAAACTGCAGGACGAACACAAGCGCTGTAGCGACCACCAGGAGCAAATAGACTGGAGACATATGGAGAGGGTGTAACATATTGCAGTTCGTGGAATAAAATGATACAGGATGGTACAAGATGAAGGAATCCAATGACCTGCTTATTCTTTTCCTCTATTGTTAGGCTATATCTAGCAGAAGGACTGTGTCGCTCTATCCTAAGTCTCCTGGGCTGTTTCTATGTTCTGAATGTCGATTCCTCTCTGTTATAAACCCTCTTATCCCCTTGGTATTGACTGTCCCAGCTTGGCTGGCATACAATCAGGAAATGGCTAAGTCACATTTCAATACAATATTCTTTTATTGACAATACCAGCTTGCCAACATGGCAGCTTAATCTTCAGTTCTGCTGGTAGTGATTACAAGGCGACAACTGTTAGGGTACGATTAGCAAGAACAGGTAACAGGATTTTTTAAGAAGACATTGCTGGAAACAATGTGCAATATGCAAATATTGCAATATGATTCTATACAAATGAATAAAAAAATACATAGCAACAGTTTATGCTGTTATGGAAACACTTCCTGCAACAAACTATTACAACATTGATAGAGCTAGAGTGTATAAAGGAGTTGACTTATTTAAATTAAACTTAAAATACTCTCCTGTTTGAGACCCCTATTTGTAGGAGTACTGTTAATTTTAAATAAACAGAACATGTGAATAACTGTTAAAGCTGAACAGAACTGAAATACATAAATGTGAACTCTCTGTGCTGCCAAAAGATTTCAAATACTGTTTAATCTCAGTCGCTGCCCTGCCCCCAGCCTGCTGAGAAAGAAAGGGCAGCCTTACACCCATCAGGTCATCAATTTGTCGATTCAGCACTTTCATCCAGTGAGCTAGCACCCTATGTTGGATTGACAGCTGTGTACAGTCTAACAGAACCTATTTGTGGTGTGCTTCTCTTATTGCAGTCCTTCAGTATGAGGGATTACTGGAGGCTCATATAAAAGGAACCTATGCTGCACAGGCAGCAATAAAGAATTGACAGGCTCTAACCCTTCCTAACTCTTCTAGAGAAGGTTATTGTTGTCTTATTGGGGAGGGTTCCCCTTACTTCTTGTTCTGACACATGTGAAACAGAAAGGAATTTGGGAGATTTACCCTTACTTCCTGTTCTGTTTGACACCCATCATATAGAGAAGGAGCAGAACCAGGAACCTGTTGAACAACAATAGACCGAGATTTAAAATGTTCTCCACTGATACCAGAAATTGGCTGTCATTTTACAGTATTTGTGACTTTAATGATGTTTTTAATGTATATATCTGGAATAAAATGTGTATTTGATACATGTCTGGAATTCTGCATTAGGTCAAAGATTCCAACATGATAGCCACATGACAATCTAAGCAAGTATGTTAATAATGATAAAGGAGGTCAAGAAATTAAGTTCAGCTAATTTAATCAGCTCAGCAATTAAGTCTAGAGCTATAATTGTCAGCTAAAAAGGTTTAGCCAAGAAATGTAGCCAAACCATTGGACATACCGATGACTGTCAACAGAGATTCATCAAGCAAGCTAAGAGTTATAGCCACGACTGTTTGTAAAAAAAAAAAACATGAGATACCACCATATCAACTAAAGGATTAATTTGAGATGCAACTAAAACATAAACGCATCCATGATGGTAAGCTATGACAATGAACCAGTTCTATGACTTCAACCAAGATATTTAGACTGTCAATGGAGGCAAAAGATTAATTGAAAGGTTTATACCAAGCCAAGATTCCAACTAATCTATAAAATTGAACTAGGACAGGCCGACAAATCAAGAGGTCTGACCAAGACATGACAGCTGGAGAAATGGAGCACAGCGCTCTGTTTGAGAGCAGTGGTCTGGTTCTCTACAGGACACAGGAAGCTTTTGCAAAACTAAACACACACAATGTAAAAAAAAATCACAAAATCAAAGAGGTTGAACTGGATGGACTGGTGTCTTTATTCAATCTTACCTACTATACAGAGAGAGCCATAACTACATAACAAATAAAAATCATGAAGTTTTACTTGGGCTTTAAAGTGGAAGTGAAGTCTTTACAAAATACAGACATGCAGGCTTCCTATAAGAAAAGTGAATCAGTAAGTGTCTTTTGCCGTAGAAGCTTCTTTGTGCCTGTCAGCAATATTTTTTTCTCACACTGAACTATGCATGTGCACCTCATTGCACAAATTCAGCAAAGACGTTTCCGAGATGAAGTAACTGCCATGTGCATGCATTAAAGTTGCATCATCTGGGCTAGGGCAATCAAGTTGCCGAAGAACCAGAACCAAAGACCGGGACGAAGCACCAGTGAGAATGGGGAAGCCCGGACATTGCGGTACTGGAGAGAATTGCTTTGGCAGGTAAGACAGCCATAATGTGCTAATATCAAATTAACACATTTAGGAGGCGCTCGAGTTTCTCTATGCGCTCAAATCCTCCAGATTCAGGAAAGTTTGCAAAAAAGCTTAAGGGCACAGGCAAGGCAGCTCCCAACAAAACAGGCCTCCCTTGTTGGGCAACCAGGAATGACTCAATGTTCAGAAATAAAGGGGGGCAAACCAAAAGGTGAAAGAGTCCAAAAGTGCCTTTAATTGTTCAAAATGTAATCAAATTGTGAACAATTAAAGGCACCATAGACCTTTTGGTTTGGCGCCCTTTATTTCTGAACATAATAAGTTAATATATTGTGCATGCTAGCACATTATGGCTAAAGGCTCCATCCCCCACCCCCTATTCTTAACATTGGCTTTACCTTTTCTTTAATAAGTCACCTCTTCCATTACATGCACTACCAATCCTCACTGTTGTGAAAATAAACCACCACCCCAAGGAATCTTCAGAATCCAAATTTCAAGGAGTGTCAAATTCCTGGTCCCCCACAGCATTAAGTGGTTAATTACACAGGCTTCTACATCACTACTGTGTCTGGTAGTGACTTATGGTTCGTTTACACCAGATGCAGTGCGTTCCGGTCCGATTCCGTGCTTGCAGCATTTTCATCGCACCGGACCGCAGACACAATGTGTGGGCGATCGCATTGTAGCCGGAGGACGTGGCTACAGTGCACTCACTTCCATAGCCCGCCACGCTCCCTCCTGCCCCACAAAAAAGTGAGCCGGCCGCAATGCGATGCAGTGCGTTCCGGCCAGAATCGGACCGGAACGCACTGCATCTGGTGTGAACGAACTCTTAGGGGCCAGTCAGAGAACCAAGAGAGCGCTGGGGAACAGAGTTCGTAAGCACGAGCAGCTGGGAAAATTAGTATGTCCTCTCTTTTTTGTAGGTATGGCTTGCTTCAGATTTTTGCTTTGGATTTTTTATACTGACATGGTCACTCTAAAAAGGTGTACTAATTGCCTACACTGATTTGCAAATGTGTCTATCAAATATAAAAAATTAAAGTAAGGATGTAAGTAAAATACAAATGACTATTAGGTAAATTCAACAATAATGCCGCAGAAGATACATTAGGGTATCCCTTTGCATGGTTGAATTAGCACCTGATACATTGTTAAAGGAAACATAGCTTTGCTGAACGTTGACCTTTACTTGACCTGACAGGGAGTTATCTTTGTGAGCACACCTTGGGGACAAAGAACAAAGCACAGTTTGGGATTAAAACAAACAGGATTGGCAGAGTTGGCAATTTTTACACCACGTGACTTCAACAGAACTACAGCTTACCACTGAAATATTTGCACAGATTTTATCACATGCAACTTTGTTTGAAATGGCGATAATGCAATTTAAAGAAGATATGTACTCAGGGAAAACTATAAGTGGTGATTGCTGATCTGTTACAGATAAGCAGATGAGGCTCTCCCATTTTGTTCTAGCTTTAGTACTGAAAAAAAAAAACATCACACATAGATCATAGACTTCTCTCAAAAAAACTTTGACTGCAGGATTTCAAACCTAATACAAGCTCAGCCGTTTATATTAGGGATGCACCGAAACATATCGGCCGTAAATGCCACTTTTGGCATAATGCCGAAAGTGCCATTTCCCCTGCCGGGGCTATGTGGGGTCTCACCACATAGCTTCCCCTACCCCAGAGTCAGGCCCTTCTTCAACCTTGGCC